TCCGGAGACGGACCTTAACACTGGCGCCACGCACTAAATATGTACAGGGTTTAGGCAGAGGGATGCCCCTACCCCCGGACCAAATGGGGAACAGAGACGAACGTCCACGCAGACTATGCGACAGAGAATATCGAAGTACAAAGGGAGTTTTTCCACACAACGAAGGACAAAGGGAATGAAAATAACAAGGCACAAAACATGAACATAGAACAATTGTGGGCAAAAAGACATCTGTATTCTTCGGCACTTACGGCCGGACATTACAATAGCTGGAATGGAAAAACGTAAATGACATTATACAAAGAAAGGGGACCCTGGGCGGCTGCTGCCCTTGTTCGGCTCCTCCTCCTCTTCCTCAGGCTCGGGGGTCGGCGGCTCTGGAATCTCCCCCCTGGCCTTGGCCTCCTCCCGGCGCTGATCCCTCCTCAGTTTCCCTAGCGCCTGGATTAGGAGATCGTCATCCGTGTTGGCCGCCAAGTCAAAATCGGGCCCCAGCAGCTTGGCGAATGTGGGTAGGGTGGCCTTTACCCCTTCATTGTAGCCGGCGGCGAAGGTGCTGTCGCCGACCTCATATAGGAACTTGCGAGACAGGGGAGAGCCCTCAAGGATCCGGACGCCGCGGGCCAGGCGCTGGCGGGGCGGAATCTTCTCCAGAGCTGCGGCGAACAAATCGGCGAAGACCCCGGCGCAATAGTCCTTGGCGGAGTCCATAAACTCCCCAGTGTTCCGATAGCCGGAGGTGTCAACCAACCACTCCGGAGTGGCGTCCTTGGCGGCAGGGAGCACCGGAACAAGCTTGAAACCGGCTCTTTCAAGGCCGGCCAACTGGCTGCGGGATTCAGCCTGCAGGGCTGCAATCTCCCTCCCCTTGGCTGCAGCCTCCGCCTCAGATCGACGGGCGGCCTCCCGAGCCGCAGCAATGGCCGCATCGGCTTTAGCCTTGGCCTCCATCAGATCGGCCTCCCGGGCAGCTTCAGCTTGAAGGACAAGGAGCCCAGACTGGATGACAGAAGAAAAAAAAAGAAATAAGGATCAAAGGATGAACGCCATTGGAAACATATGTATGCTCAGATCTAGCAAGGAGGAATTACCTGAAGAGCGGCTGCCAGCGCAGCGCTTGTCGCCTCGGACGACGAACGGCGGGGCAGCTCGAGACCGGCCTTGAGGGCCATCTCCCTCCAAAGTTCGTCCGCCGGGCGGCTCAAAGGCAGGGACCCGGCATCTTCAAGCAGGGGGCCAGTGGAGCCTGCCTCGCGGCCCCGCTTCTGTTTCTTCTCAGGGACCTTCTCTGTCCCCTTCTGAGGAGCCGTCTTCGTGGGGACGACCGGCGGCGGAAGGGCGGCTTCGAGAGCAGGGGCCCCGGAACCCTGGGCCAGCATAGTGGCGATTAAATGTTGCTCACCCTCGGCGGTTCGCCTGGCAGCATCAGAGGCCGAGGAGTTGGATTCCGAGGCGGGGGCGTCTTTGGCTTTCGCCATCGCAGCTTTAGCCGCGGCCGCCTTGGCCTTCCTGGTCTTCAGACACTCGGCGTGATTCATTTGGTCTCTATCGGGCGGTGGACCTGCAAGAAACAACAAGGATTAGAAGCCGAGCGGGAAGTAGAATAAGACACTCACCTCGAAGGACAGGACCGCCCGGGCCCCGAGACGAGCGTCGAAGGGTAGAAAAAGTCCAGGAACACGGGCGGTACCTATGCCTGCCCCAGAGAGTGCCTCGAAGGTCAGAAATCCGGCTATGGGACGGACGCCACCCCCCAACACCTTCTCCGCATCCGAAAGCAGATCGTCGGTCGGCTCTGGTGACTCAATCTTTGGGGGATACCCATTCCACCGGAGAGGGAGAGGAGGCCCGTCGTATCGAAGGAAGAAGAAGCGGTTCTTCCAGTCGTGGATGGACGAGGGGTAGTTCTTGAACAGTCGCCTCCCAGGACGTGCGGCCACGCTCAGATACCCGTCGGCATTCTGAGGGGTGACGCGATAGAAATAATGGAAGAGCTCCAAAGTGGCATCGACCCCCGCAAGTTTGCAGCGCACCAAGAAGGCCGATATGAATCTGTAAGAATTTGGCATGAATTGCGCCGGAGCCACCTGGAAGCAGTGGAAGAACTCCACATAAAACGCATGAAGTGGAAACCGCAGCCCGGCTTCAACGGAATCCAGGTGGAGCATGATCATCCCCGGACGTCTCCTCATCACATGCTCAGCGCCTCTCACACTCCAGACGAACGGTGGAGGAAGGAAGGTACGGATTTTATTGAGGGCCACGCGGGAGAGGACTTGGTCGTGGTCAAGGGCGCTCCTAATCGGGCAGATGTGGCGCTCCATATCTGTGGGGATGCCCAGATCGTACACCTCCATATCAGAACCAGATTCGGCTTCCTCTCCAGAATCATAATCAGCAGGACGCTCATTCAGGGGGACCGCATCGATAACGTCCACTGCCTCATCGGCATCCCCACCCCTGCCGCTGCTCCCACTACCTTGGGAAGCACTACCCGGCTCACCATCAGCCCGGATGGTTCCCACCGTCGTGGCCGAACCCGAGTTTCCAGAAACACTAGTTTTGCCCAGGGAGCGTGCGTTCGCATTTTCAGAAGAGGAACCCGAGGAGGAACCCGACGAACTGGAATCAGAACTTGAGGAGATCTCCATCGAAGTCATTCCGACTAGAAACCGGAGTAAAGAAAAGAAGCAAAGGGGGGAAATTACCTTACAAAGGGGTTAGCCGAATTCAGGAGACTTGAAGAGCTGCGGAAAATCGGGAGCAAGAGAGCAGAAATTGGGAACCCTAATTCAGAGGGGAAACCCAGCATTTATAGGAGAAACACCGATGGAGAAACCAACGAAGGACTGACACGTGGCAAGGGGCGTATTCCGGCCCACGCGCTGTGCGTGGGATGGGAACGTAATGATGACACTTCCTCGGGAAAATGCGCCGCCGCAACATCAGCCGTCACCTCGTTTCCTGAACCGTCAACAGCTGTCAAGCACCAGGACCACGAACGTACGCTTCCACCAGGTGAGATAAACACAAGTACCGAGATACGGACGTCTGCTTCGGGGAGGTTCATACTTCCTTATGTCCTGCGCATGCTCAGAACATCAGAAGTGGGGGACTTGTGTTGGGTTAAGGGCCCAAGCCGAGGTCCGGCCCACTAACCCATTCTGCCAGACGAACGTCCAGTTAGAGCACTAGGCCAGCCCACAGGCCCATATTCCTTGAGGATGGACGAACGTCTGGTGTTGGGGGGCTTAGGCCCAGCAGCTCATCCCGACGAACGTCTATGCATGAGCAAGGAGCAGAACCACGGGCCACCAGGGATGGCGACGAACGTCCCCAGAGCAAGCCTGTAGTCATCGGAGGAAACCCAGTTCACATGGTGAGTATCTATCAAGGCCAGGAGACGAACAGCCGGTATCATCTGAGGGTCACTTGGAGCAATCCAACTCACTTCCCGGGTGGACGAACGTCCCCACTGATCCGGCGGGAAACCTAGATTCTGGCGGGAAGTGCATTTAATGCTAAAGATTTGGTAGTTGGGACACCAGCGGTCCACAGGCTGCCACGTCAGTACAGCTACCTGCCCATTGGCGGGTATAAATAGAAGCATTTATTTCATTGTAAAGGGTTGGCAACTTTCTATTCTTAGTATACTAGCTTCAACATTCGTATTTGCAGCATTTCTAAGTGCCTTGTAAGACGAACGGCCGACGTGCCTCTTTAGCAAGTAGATTGTACTTAGGGGAGTTATTACGGAGTTAATAATACCTATTTACATTGCCTGCTATTTCTCTTGTTTCCTGATCCATCTGAAAGTTGTTGGGCTAGGTATCCACACACTCACTCCACTCGAAATCTTTGGGCTTACGTGTTGGGTCCAAGGGTTGAAGGAATAAACCTCAACAGGTATAAAAATATTTCATTTGGAAATTTATAAAAATACTTCTATATTTTCCGAAAATTGAGAGTTGATAATTGGGATTAATAACAAGAGCGACTACAGTTGGGATTATTTATAGCTTACACATGGTTCGCATTTGAATTGACCTGCCATACCAGGTTGTAGCCGGTTAGAGACTATTTTTGAAAAATGGTCTCTATAATTGGGACCACCCAGAAATAATTGATAGTTGAGAAATATTAACAGCAGACCGAAATTAGTTGGGATTATTATTTTCAATTTTTCCAAAAAAGAAATTGAATTCTAATACTCTCTATTTGATACTTCCTTTGTCCCACTAACATTGGAATATAAGAAGTGGTACAATTATTTAGGAAATTGATTTATGTGATTAATATTGAATTGATAAAGTAAGAATAAATAAAAATGATTTAGAACCACATAAGTTTTACCAAATTTCTTATAAGACAATCTCAATGGGACGCAGCGGCAGTACAAGAATATACATACAAGTACATATATATTAAAAATTTCGGGGTAAATATACCTAGAATTTTTTTTCCCCGGAGGGGAGGCAGCCCCCCATAGCCCCCATGTGTGTCCGCCGCTGATGGGACGGATCGAAAAGAAAATATGAGACAATCTTAGCGGATAGAGGGAGTAGTAAATATTAACACCAATAACTCTAAATGCATATTAGTGTGTTCTATTAATTAATCAGGTAGGTACTAATTATTAGAAATCAAGCAACCATCAGTTACAAATTTTTAATTCAGGGTATTGTCGGGTTTTAAAGTACCAAACCACCTCATGATATAGAAATTAAGCATATTAGCCCCCTTGTGATTTTAAAAAAGCGTCAAAACCCCATGTGTTGTAATTATTCATGCACTGAACCACTATTGTGAATAAATTTAACATTTTTAAAATCACTTTTGCTAATACTATAATTGAATATGCAAGTAAATTTTTCGAATTTGTGATTAACAGAAGTGTTAATCATTGTTTTACAATTAAATTTGTTCATAGAAGAGATTCACACATGATTAATAATAACATAGGGAGGTTTGATGCATTTTATAAATCACATGGGGCTAATGCGGCGAATTTGCTCCTAAACTGCACAAAAGCCCTACTCCAACTTATGCATGTTTACATTTTTTTTGAATGGAAACTGCCAATTTAAATTAATCTAAGCAATCGTTCGCCAAAAGGCTAGAAATACAATCGGGGATAACCTCAAAAGAACTACCACCCGCTTCTGAAAGCGCAACTCTAGGAGCTACACGATTCGCGGATCGTTTGCAAAATTTGACAGTATAGCCAGCTTCAGAAAGAAGAAGATGTCTTATGTCTTGGATGATCAAGTCGAAATACGAACTACCTGTGTCCTCTACTAGTCTGGATGTAACTAACAATGCATCAATCTCAAATATGATATGTCTCCAACCTTGCTCCTTAGCCCAAATAATTGCCTCCCTTACCCCTATGGCCTCTGTCGTGCGTGTTGACCAGGCCACCACACAAGAGTCTGATCTTCCTTTGATAAAGTTGCTTTCCTCATCCCCATGCCCTTCTTCCTCTTCGTGCATCTGTAGCGGCGTCGACATTAATCTTGATAACATTATGCTCTGGTTTAGACCATCTGCTACCACCCTCATTAACACCAACCACTTTATTTGTCTCGGTCCGCACTGCTCGCCACCCCTGGAGACCAATTATCCCCACATGATCTGCCTTAAAATGTTTATTCTTCCAGATCAGTTCGTTCCTCGCTTTCCAGATGCTCCATAACATAGTTAAAAATTTACAAATATCATCCTCTGTTTGAGAGCTAAAAATCGTCTTGACCCACTCCTCCATAGAAGTATCATGCCTTTGGACCGGTTTCCCAGCCTTTTGCCACACCTCAATGACAACTCTGCATTCATTAAATAAATGAATTGATGTCTCTTCAGCTTCCTTGCACAGCCTGCAAGCTCCCGAAATATCCACCCTCCTCTCCCGCAGCTTGTCTGCCGTTGGTAGTGTACCTGTCATAACCTGCCAGAAAAAATGCTTTACTTTTGGTTGAATAAAAGATCCCCACATCCGCGTCCAGTCCAGCCACCCCCCTTCTGGAACCTCTCCAACAATCCTCCTATAGGCAGATTTAACCGTATATACCCCTCGAGTATCCCCAATCCACCAGTAGCCATCTCGCACCTCTCTGTGACTAATAGGTATCTGTAAGATGGCTTGCCTATCTTGTTCATTAAAGATATGGCGTACTCGTTCCAGATTCCACCCTGACCTACCCTCTTTAATGAGAGCCGCAACATTCATATAAAAAATCCCCACCGGTTTTGGTGACGAGACAAAACCATCATGCTCTCCCGGAAGCCACCGATCACGCCGAACTGATATCTCCGTTCCGGTTCTAACTCTTCTTCGGACCCCAGTACAAAGCACATCTTGAGATTCCCATATACTCCTCCAGATAAATGAAGGATTGGTCCCCAACCCAGCCTCCAAAAAGGTTGAATTCGGATAGTACCTTGCCTTAAACACCTTCCCTGCCAAAGAATCTGGGTTAGTAGTTAAGCGCCAAGCTTGTTTTCCTAGCAATGCAATATTGAAATCCCTCAAGGATCTGTCACATTCCCCAAAGCTTTCCTAGCAATATTCTTGGGGATACACAAAGCTTTCCGGCACTTCCATCTAATTCCCCGACCTGTCATATCTATCCGTCACCGGCCACCGCCAGTAGCCATTCATAATCATCTCTATCACCGAACACAATTTTTGGGGAAGTAGAAAAACATTCATTGCATAGGCGGGCATAGATTGTATAACCTTCTTTAAAAGTACCTCCCTCCGGGCTTTAGATAAAAACTTGTTATTCCAATTATGTATTCTTTTCAAAATACGTTCACAGATATAACCAAGTATTTCATTTTTTCCTTCTCCCAACCAAAGTAGGTAAACCCAGGTACCTGACACAAGCTTTACCTGCATTAACCCCCAAAGAACTACTCCCTCCGTCCCGCTATGATTGTCCCATTTTACCTTTTCGGGAAGTCTCACTAAGATTGTCTCATACCAAATTTGGTAAAGTTTGTGTGGCTCTAAATCATTCTTACTTTATTTTTACTTTTTCAATTCAATAACAACCACATAAACTCACTTTTCTTAATAATCGTGCCACCTTCTTCCGTCCCAATGTTAGTGGGACGGAGGTAGTACTAATTAATTCCTTCGTATGTTCTGGTACGTTCGGGCTGAAGCAAATTGATGACTTCTCAAAATTAATTTTTTGGCCAGACTCTTGCTCATATGCCGTAAGGATATCTTTAACCACCTCACCTTCTTTCTTAGCCCTGAAAAATAGGAAGCTATCATCTGCGAAAAAAGATGAGAAATCATAGGTGCCCTTCTAGCAACAGATATTCCATGGATTTTCCCCAAGCTCTCATTTTTTTAATTAACAGACTGAGTCCCTCTACTACCAAAATGAATAAATAGGGAGAAAGAGGATCCCCTGCCTCAAACCCCGATGTGGAATAATCGGCCCAATCACAGTATCCTCAATTCTGCTGATCATTCCAAGATTCTCATGGATTGCAAGATTCTGAGCTAGGGTTACACGCGCAGCCCAACAACCCATCACTCCATCGCATCAAGCAAGCGCCGCAATTCCGTTTCAAAAAGTCAAACAAAACAGTACCCGTCAAATTGACGCAGTGACCCAATGGTCACACGCAACCTTCACGGCCATCGTTTCCCGGCGAAGCTCCGACTAGCCACTGGAGCGGTTGGTCGGATAAACGAACCCAACGCACTTCCAGACTTCCAGGTCTCAGCTTCTACAATCCTTGTAGCACATACCTTCCGCAATCCCTGAACGGTAGGTGTTGAATTGGCTAGATGGCGGATGACGGGCCATGTGCGGCGGCGGCAGGGGGTGTGTGGCGATAGGTCTGGAGGTGGTGAATTGAGGCTAGGGTTATAGAAAAGAGTGGAAGCTTAGGGTTCTTATAGATATAAATCTAAAGGGTAAATTTGTCCACCACTATTATTTATTTAATTAATTATTACGAATTTAATTAAATATTATGATTTTTAATATTATTTAGGTAAAAAAAAGTAGTTAAGTCATAGATTGAGAAACTAAAGAAGTTTTAGTCATACCTAGGGTAATTATCTCTAGTAAATAAATAAAGAGAGAAATGTATTCCATCCATTCCCAAATGAGGTTCCACATTTAACTTCACGGGGTTTTAAATAGCAAAAAATAATACTCCCTCCGTCCCTGAATGTTGTTCCGATTGCGGATTACGAAGGTTGACCGACGATAAAGTTAAATGATCCCTGTGAAAACTCGGATTATTTTTAGTAAATAAAATTTACATATTCAGAAACTACATTAAACCCGCTACAAAGCCTGCACAAAAAAAATCAATTTTCATAAAGTTTTGATACAAAAAGTAAGAGTTTAAGAGTGATTTAAGTTGACTCTCGAAAAGCGAAATGGAAGTAAATTTAGGGACAGAGGGAGTAATAAAAGTATCTTTCTGAAGTTGCCCTTGGGGTATTAGACCATCTCCAATATAATGGTTCCCTTTGAGAATTTGTTTGCAATTTTAAAGCTAATAGCTTGTCATTGGAGTATTGTTTTCTTTTTTGTTTGAGAAAGTCAGTTACCCAAAATGAGCTACTAGCTTGAGCAAAGAGAATTATTAAAAATAACATTATTAATAATAAACAAAGAGGAAGAAGTTATAGCTAAATATTTGAGTACATTTTAATTTTGCTGCAAATGTTTATTTGACTAATCAGGTTATAACGGTAATTAGCGAGCTGTTGGAGATGCTCTTAGAAGATGTAGTACAATAAAGGTACACGAATAATGAAATCAGCTCAGGATAATACATATCAATTCAATAAAAGTATGTGAAGGTAAAAGAGTAAGCGAATAGCAAAAACTTACCAAATATAAAAGAATTTGAAGTGTGAATATTATTTTGGGACAAGAAAGAGGGATTTCAGAAGGGAGGGATTAATACATCGTAGGTGAGAGCAAAAAGTATACATTAGATCGATCTCTACTATACATTTATAAGTAACATGGAAGTTTTTGGCGTTTAATTAAATCACTTTGCAACATCCAATAATTATATTACACATGCATAATAATGTAGCTGAAATATACGTAATGAAACTATAATTGCACTTTGGTCAATATAAGTAAGGTGTTTGTAGTAACGTGTAAGGAAAAAAGAGAAAGCCATGCCGACGAAGTAGAAATTTTTTTTTTTTAAAAAATTGTTTTTAAATATTAGTCCGTATTAAATATCTAAAAGTGAACGGTGGCAAACATTTTGGAACACTAAAAAAGAAAAAGTTATGAATATGAATAGAAGTGTGGGTGTTTTAGTGTGAGAGGGAAGAAGGAGAAGGATCTCTCCACAAAAGTAAAGCGTTGTCGGGAAGCCAAAATCTTCATTTGAAACTTCATTGCTGTGGTCATCATCAATCTCGGAACTATTGTTTGAAGGAAAGCATGAGCCTCCCATCTGATCTGGTTGAGAGGAAGAAAAAGTCGGGTCGGGTTACGGAGACGGCAGTCAACACCAACCGGCCGCCTTCCCGACGAGGCCGCATCATCTTCACCCCATCACCACCAAGTCCCGCCCGACCTTTGGTCGTTGAAGTCAGCGGAGGCGGGAAGCGGGCCTTGATTTTGTCACCCGAAATCATCCCCGCCGGCTTCGTCGGTGATGGTTCCGACGCTGCCGGCGGCGGCTTCCCAATCAATTCCTCAATGCTCCGAGTCATATCGAAGCCAGTTTCGCAGCCCAAGCCCTCGGTACACATCTCTAGGCTTTTCGTACTCAGTGCGGATAAGGAGCGGCTCTTACGCCGCCGCGGAGGCAGAGGCGGGAGCAGTTGAACTCTCTCGGCCCCCGCCTCTGCCGCGCCTTGTTGTGGCCGTGCATTTTTATTTGCCAGCTCCTCCACAAGAAAGCTCCATCCACCCTCGCTCGTGCCGCTGCGGCCGGTCTCAGAAACGCCGTCGTCCCCGGCCGGAACATCGTCGCCATCATCAGTGCATGGCTTCCGGTCATGCTGACTCAAGTGCGGCGGCTTTTTGTGATCATCAGAGTCGCAATGCCCGCCGCTTACAGACTTCACCATCATGTTTAATTTGTTAATTTCTCACCCGAAAGAAACTATATATATATATATATATATATATATATATTATTGTGATGAACGGCGAAGCTGGTGGCATTTATAGGATGTATATACTTCGTATGAGATTACGCTGATCAGCCTCCATGTGAAATATACTCCGCATTTGGAATTTTTTTGAAAATTAATTAACTAAGAATGAGGTACTTTCTAAATTAAAGTAACTAGAGTATCTGCAAAAATAAATAGAGTAAGTTATGCATTCTAAAATCTTACTTTCATAATGATTCTTTTCCTAAATAGAGTTATTGAATTATTCTGAAATCATAACGTAGTGTAAAAATAGCAGCATAATCTCATCTCATTATAATAATATCCTAAAGTCTTAGGATTGCATAACTTCTTTGTTTAGAAAAAATAGTATTCGTATATATGAAACTCACATATTTTACTTCTATTTATGGCATTTCTTAATGAATTTTCGAATATATATGTGAAGCATTTAATATTAAAAGAAACTCCAAGTCCTCAAAACTATTGAGCCTAGCATATCAATATTAATTGTCAAAAACCCTTAAAAGATCAGTATTGTACCCAACGACCCGTGCGATGCACGGGTCACACAGATAATAATTATTATAACATATTGTTATTTTAGCTAGAACTTGTGAATATTAAGTAATTTGTAGTCTCATTTTTGGAACTTAAAAAAAGAGGTCTCTTTTTTGTCCATCTCTCTTTTTTAGTAATATTTTAGACATAACCGCTAAATGTAATAAAGTGATGGAGTTTAATCCAACTACGAGAACTAAATCTACCAAAAGTATGTGAAACGTATTTAAAAATATGAAAGAATATGGCAGCGTAAGGCAGTGTACTCTTATTCCGAAGGATTAATCGGCCGTCCCCTGGTAGGGTGTTTACAAAATAATACTAGAAAAAGAGCTATGAACAAAAAAGAGACCTTTATTTCAATTTTCCAAAAATGAGACTAACAATGGGTTAAGAGACTATTATACCCTTATTTTAATAGAATCTCACCCATTAGTCTACAATAACGCCACAGTGACCAAAACCATTATCGTGACCAAAATTCGTCACTGACCAAAAATCATTTGTGACCAAAAATCCAAAAATCCGTCAGTGACCAAAATCATTAGTGACAAAAAATTCTACCTAGTTACCAACGTCAACCCGTCCAGTGACCAATCCGACTAGTGACCATGACCAATCCACCCAGTGACCAAAAATCATTTGTGACCAAAATTCCAAAAATCCGTCAGTGACCAAAATCATTAGTGACAAAAAATTCTACCTAGTTACCAACGTCAACCCGTCCAGTGACCAATCTGACTAGTGACCATGACCAATCCACCCAGTGACCAAAAATCATTTGTGACAAAAAATCCAAAAATTCGTCAGTGACCAAAATCATTAGTGACCAAAAATTCAGTTATAGTTACCAATTACTACAGTAACCCGTCATAGTGACCAAATGTACAGTGACCAATATTACAGTTACCAAAGACATAGTTCCAAAATTCATCCAGTGACATAGTTACAAAATTCATCCCGCTACAGTGACCAATGTCACAGTGACATAGTTACAAAGTTCGTCACCCTTAATCCATCAGTGAGTCACTGACCACTGACCAGTAACCAGATGTCGCCGCTAATGACCATTTCCCCGCTACCACCGCAAGAGACGAGTACCCCGCCGCCCCCGTCAGTGACCAATTCCTACCCCCGCCACCAGTGACCAATCCCCCTCCGCCGCTAGTGAACAGTACCTACCCCAGCCACCAGTGACAAGTCCCCCTCCGCCGCCACTGACCAATACATACCCCCGCCACCAGTGACCAGTACCTATCCCCGCCAGTGACCGGCCCCTTGCCCCACCCGTGACCTATTCGCACCGACACCAGCGAGTTGTCCACAACGCCGCAAGTGACCAGTAGGGCCAGTGACAAGTCCACGCCGCCGTCAGGGACCAGTCCTCCACCGCCGCTAGTGACCCATCTCCGCTACCACTAGTGACAAGTCCACGCTGCCGTCAAGGACCAGTCCTCCACCCAGGGGGCCAGCCCCCTGCCCCGCCGCCACTTTAGCCTCGATCCAGCTCCCTCCCCTCACCCTGTACAACCTGCTGCCACACCCTCTCCGATTGCCACCACCACTCCAACTTTCCCCACCCTAACCTGACCTTGTATAATCGGCTGCCACACCCCCTCCGATTGCCACCACTACCCCAACTTTCCCCACCCTAACCTTCTTCCCTAGACACCTGCCGTCCCCAACCCTTTCCACCATCGCTGCCCCCATCAGCTCACGAACTGCTTCCCCCAGCCTTCAATTTTAACATTAGAAAATGAGATCTGCCATCGATCTGAAGAGAAGGACGGGAACTGTCGAGTAGAAGAAGTGGAGAAGAAAACGATGAAAGCGGTGAGATCTGTGGAACCTGCGGTGAAGAGGATCATCGGGGATGCTTATGGCCTCAGCGGATACGAGGCGGCGGAGTCATGGCTCGGGAGGCAGAGGCGGTGCCATGTCTTGGGAGCCGGCGGAGATTCCATGGCTAGGGAGACGGAGAATCCATGGATAGGGCAGCGGTGACTCCATGTCTATGGTGGCGGCGATTCTATGCCTAGATCAGCGATTCCATGCCTAGATCGGCGATTCCATGTCGGCGGCTCCCTGGTTTGGAAGGTGACTAAGCAGATCGAAAGATGTAGACGGGAAGGGAAGATTGGTGTTTTGTTTTGAGATTATGTGGGGTATATTTGCCAGTTCATAAATAAATAGTCTCTTTTTTGTCTAGGTTAGATATTAATCCTATTTCTGTCCAAGGAGAAGCCAATGGTCTTATCCGTGTCATTCTTTCTAGTTCTAATTATGGGGTTAAGACTACGATATTACTTAAAATGATCGGTGGACAAAAATGAATAGTTATGTTTTAATTTCTAAAAATGAGACTAAAATTTACTAATAGGACCATTACACCCTTAATGAACCCAAACCACCTAGCTTGCTACAGTGACCCGGTACAGTGACCAAAGTGACCAAAGTGACCAAAAGTGTTCAGTGACCAAAGTAACCAATATTTACAGTGACCAAAGTGACAATTATCACAGTGACTCAGTCAAGTAGTGACCAACGAAATAGTTACCATTGGTCACAGTGACTTCCACACCGACCACAGTGACTGCCCCACCGGCCAAAGTGACTGCCCCACCGGCCAAAGTGACTGCCCCACCGGCCACGGTGAATGCCCCACCAACCACAGTGACTGCCCACCGACCACAGTGACACCGCCATAGTGACACACCAACCTCGGTAACAGTGACCATGTGTGCCGGCCACCGGCCTCCAGCCACCACCTCTGACCCGGCAACCGCCACCGTCGAACCTGACCACCGCCACCGTCTGAATCGGCCATTGCCTACAGCAAACCCTTGCCTTCCGCCACTTCTCTTTGCCCCACCCTAGCCTAAGCAGAGCCCCACAAAACACCGATTGCATTTCAGATCTGGTAAAGGTAGATCAGGATCTGCCTTCCGCCACTCCTCCCTCCTAAATCCGACGAAGCAAGTCGTCAGATGGATCTCGCCGTCGAAGGATAAAATTCCTGACCGGATCTACGAAGCTCATCGTCTCCGTTGGAGGAGTTGGTGCGGCCTGAAGAAGGTGAAGCTCGAGAAGCGGTTAGAAGGAGAGGAAAGGAGAAGAAGAGAGTGAGAGTGGCAGGTGTAGCCTCCGACGCTCTCTGTAACTGCCTCCATTGCTAATCGAAGCCACCACTGTCGAGCAATGAGATGATGTTCACGATTGGCGAGGATGATTGGGCGCAAGGGTGAAGACGTCTCTGGAAGTCTGGGGCGTAAATCTTGATAGGGCAGGGATTGAAATTTGGGGTTAAGATCAGGGGTATTTAAGACATTTTAACCCACTTTTGTTCAGTTTTTTGTCCAAATCGGTACTGCTCACATATTTGTACATCGAAGACTCCACGGTCTTCTTTTAGCCATTCTTTCTAAAGTGATGGAGTTTAATCCAACTACGAGAACTAAATCTACCAAAAGTATGTGAAACGTATTTAAAAATATGAAAGAATATGGCAGCGTAAGGCAGTGTACTCTTATTCCGAAGGATTAATCGGCCGTCCCCTGGTAGGGTGTTTACAAGAAGTATTTATAGACTTTAGGAGTCATTATTCTAAGAGGAAACCAATACAATAAATGCTATTTAATTACATTCCTGCTCGAATAGAACTCCTATCATGTCTTGGGTGTCAAGTAATAATTATTTCCTTCTTGCTTATGAATTCCGGTTGAGTCCTGTGATCTGCTACCAAATACTTATGCCCAAATAATAGCCTGCCACGTAAACCCTAGGAATATCCCGACCTCACTAGAACTCCGCTTAGGCTCGAGGTCTGCTGTGCAGCCCGGCCTGGCTGTGGGTTCCTATCGTGGGCCTAATCCCATTTGGACCTGGCGGCATATCGAACATTAATCCCGTTTATGGGCCAATCCTATTAATTAGGTTAATCCCGTTAAGGGCTGATCCCGTTATGGGCTAATCCTGTTAATTAGCCTAATCCCGTTAAGGGCTGATCCCGTCATGGGCTGAATTACGTAATTGGGCCATGGTCCAAGTCCATGGTACCATCACAAATAAATTTCATACAAATTTTGAAAGTCCTAAATACGAAGTACTTCCTCCGTTATATAATTCTTGCAACATAGTGATTTTTACACTATTCACTGATCTTACTTTGACCATGATTTTCTACTAATATACATAATCAAATTATTACGTATAAAATGTTATTGAACTCTTATCAATGTGAATTTCCAAAATATCAACTTTTTATAACGTTTACTAATAGATAATTAAATATAATTACAATCAAAGTTGTGCATTGGCAACCGTGAAAGTCAAACTGTTGCAAGAATTATAGAACGGGGATAGTATACAATATTTGTCATTAATATCGATCTCTATCATCTTATCTCACATCATATATATGAACTTTCAAACCAGCAGATTTGTAATAAATGCATGACAACATCGAACAATCGAGTATGATTAAATGTCTAAAAACATATATTGGCATGAACAAATCAACATTATAGAGACATTATCAATTTATCATTATTTATTTAATTAATAGCATGCAAAAAAAATGTCCCGATCAACA